GACGGGCCGGCTCCTCGCTGCTGCGGCCGCCGCACGGCCCACACGGCCCCTGTGAAGTCACAGAGCCCGGAGCCGCAGCTGGGTCTGGCCACGGGAGCTGCCTCCGCCGCTGGCACCGCAAAAACCTCCACCTGAAATGTGAATAAAAGTGCAGAAGAGTCATGGGGAAATGGGCACGAGCACAGCGCAGTGCTGCCCATGGATCCCGCTCTGGCCTGGGACACAGGCATGGAGATGGGCTGGGAATGGTGCTGGACTAGGAATAGAAATGGGCTGGGGACAGAGGAGGGCTGGGAATAGAGATGGGCTGGGGATGGAGCAGGGCTGGGAATGGGGATGGAGCAGGGCTGGATCTCCAGGCTCGGAGCTGCTGCTGGAGCCAGGCCCGTCTGCCCGGGAAGAGCCCCTTGGAGACCCCTGGATCCCTACCTGGGCCGGCATGCAGGGTGGGCCCAGGCGTCCAGCGCTGCTCAGAAGACCTGTCTGATCAACTCATGGTACAGGGGCAGCAGCAGCAGGCGCAGGGCAGCGTAGAGGGCGCCGGGCAGGAGCAGGGTGCCCAGGAAGGCGCCCAGCGCCCAAAGCACCTCGTGCAGGAAGACGTGCGCAGCCGGGCGCAAGGCGCGCACGAAGAGCGCCAGGGCCGGCAGCAGCAGCTCGGTGAAGGTCACGGCGGGCACGGCGAGCAGCAGCAGCAGGTAGTAGGCGGCGACCCTGTGCTCTGCTCAGCCCTGCAGCCCCATGGCCCCCCCAGCCAGGCTGAGGGCGGGGGGGGTGCCTGCCCCTGGTCACCGTTGCCACCGCGGTGATGTCACAGAAGTGCCAGGGAGGGGACACCGGGGGTTGCCAGGTGGTGCTATGGGGACGACACGTGCGGAACTCCTGCCTGGCAGCCCCGATGGTGCCGCCACGGAGACACGCTAGGCACAGGGCCAGCGGGGATGTCTCTGTCACCACCACCCACACGGCGCTGGGGGATGGAGCCCACTGAGCCCGGAGGGGCCCTGGGACAGAGGCTGCCACAGGGCAAGGCTGGGAGGGACCCCAAGGGAGCAGGAACCCTGTCCCAGCACAGGGAGACTCGGACATGGAGGCTCCAACACGGAGACTTGTACATGGACCCAGGCCTAGAGGGGCATCCCTGTCCTGGCACAGGGAGACCTGGACAAGAGTGCCAAGGCCTAGAGGGACATCCCTGGGCAGGGGCTCCATCCCTGAACTGGCAGCCCTGAGACTGGATGTGCAGCCACAGCCCCATCCCTGGACAAGCAGCCGTGTCCCAGGACACCCATCTCCATCCCAGGACACCCAGCCCAATCCCATCCACATCC